AGAAAGAGATTGCAAATAGTGATTTATTAGAATTGATTGATTAAACGTGATTTGGCTAGAAGCAATTTCAGTTGCTTTCGATAAACTGACAAAATATTTCTACAGTGAATGGCTTTCAACTTTATTAGCAAAGTTGACCTTTTACTCTTATTTTTAGCTAATTAAATATATGTAAACTGAGTTAAATAAACAAAGCCTTCATATATAAATATAGCTTGATCGGATTTAATTAGATGGGCCGGTTATAAGGTCAATTTCCAATAAGCCTAAATAACATTAAAGCCACCATAAGTTGTTCCATACTTCCTCGTCTGCTTATAAGCACTCATTTTGAGACAAAACGTGAGTACTCTTCTGGAATGCCATCGCTCTTGAATGGCCTTGGAGATTCTATCAAGTTACATTTAATAAATGGAGGTCAACCCTCGAGTAAATTCATTAAGATTTGCTTGGGACAACTCAGTGTATTTACAAATTCTAAGGCATTTTTATTTAGGCACTGGAATAATCAACTTCATTTTCATTTCATTTTTTCCCAGTGATAATCGAGAGAAAGCTTTTGCTTAACGAAGTATAAAAACATATCCCTCCAAATATCGAATAATGCTGCCTTCTGAAGTACCACTAGGCTACAACAGGACCAGGCAGAATATGGAGTAATGCAGATACACTAGTAATTAAACAAAGGCTTTGTTATATGAGCACAGGTGTTAATAAGACCTGCTGAGTTTAATTCAACAGTAAAACAACACATTGACGGGTTAAATATTGAATACCAGCTGATATGAATCGAATACGTAGATATTTAAACTCTCAAATCTATATGATAAGGTAACCAATATCGGTTAAAAATAATCGAATTAGAGGTTTGACCTTATACATTGGGAGAATCAGAATTTATAAATAAAAAAGTACTTCATTGCTTAAAAAAGACTTGAACCAAATGATCACTTTAGCACGAATGTACTTTTCTACATCACGGGGTACTATTAGTTCATTGCGAGTATCTGCAAAACGAAATTAGATTAATGCCATTTAGAAGTGCTGAAATTGTCTTAATTCTCTAACCTCCCATTTTCAGTGAAGTTATAAAAAATAAAAATTTGTGAATTCCCTTGCTAATCACTTAATGATAACAAAGGTACAGAGATCGAATATCATGCACAGCAAGAAAATAATGTTAGGATGTTAAATTTACGCCTACACACATATGCTACTTATGAATTTAAAATTAGGTGTTATTTTTTAATACAATTTTATTTGAAAATGTTTAGTTTATACATTTTTTGAATGACCATATGATTACAAAATACATCAAAATAACATCAAAAGGGAAAGTATTGGAAGAACAGATCACACAAGTTATAATAAGTTGACGATGGGTCTAAATGCAAGTAGTTAAGAAAGACCAGGGTATTGATGCAATTGGCAGCCTTGCTAGTCATCACCCCATATTTCCTGTTCAAGCTTTTTCTTCCTCGCCCGTTTTTCTAAAAAAAGAAAATAAATAATTGGCACAATGAATACGAACAACCGAGTACTGGATCAGTCACCAGTAAATAGAAAATCAAAATATGCTTCAAATAACAAGGGCATGCATAAGAAAAATAACGGATCCGCCTTCAAACAGACTGGGTTATCACGCATTTCCATCCTCATATTTACGCCATTAATCCGATTATCGATAAGTAGTATTTAGCACATCTCAGACACATTTAACATATTATTACTCACTTCCATTTCCATACGCGAACCTTTTAAATTATTCTTTACCGATGCAACTATTCATGTCACAATATCTGCCTACTTCTCAACGTTTTTGCGATGAGACAGAAGAACACGAGTCAAGTAGGTCTATTTCATGCTTCACCAGTGACAGCAAAGCAGCAGCTCTAAATTGACCCTAATATAATCAATTATATCATATTCTAGCTATTATTTTTTTGCTAATTCACACACAACTCTTGAAAGAAGCATTCGCCGGAACAATTCATCATAATCATCTGTCAAGGCGAATCACACACTCAACAATATGACATTATGGCTTTTATTTTTTGTTTCTGGGGTGCGCGATAGACTTACCTCCACGTGGTGCACCCTGGGCAACTTATGCTCATACGGCTAAAAGTCTATAAGCCGGCAATGGACTTGACCCCATTGTATGTCATATTCTACCACTTCCACAGTACTCACCTCACCTTTTCCTCCCAACCTCTGTCTGTTTCCCTTTTATACCTGTGAATCACTCTTCTCTTCCCCCTCTCGACTACAGTCAAATACAGGGCTAATGATAACTATCATAAAACCTACTATTTACTATAAATAAATACATTTTGTGTTTCTTCTCACAACTCCTACAATAAACATTCATCAGAATGCTTCAGCATAATCGTGTTTCAAGGTGAATCCCATACTTAACAATTGTGGAAACGAAGCTGAGAACTCTAAAATAGCATTTGAGCAAATTGACTAATGCCCACCAAGTGGGAGAAATATTTAACCACAATTGGTAATATCTTGACAAATTGTCACATGCGATTAGCATAGTAGTTAAGCGATGCCTTTTTACAATTGTTCTTGGAATTGGATGTAAATTCCCGGCAACAAACAGAAACTACTTTCAAGTTTGAGTAGAGAGTAGCTGAGGAGTCAACTGAATGATGCTGAAGTGTTCCTTGTTGAAAGGGAGCGTTTTATTTCTCGAAATACTCCTTTTGCAAAAGCAGCAAGGTTTAGAGAACCCCAACTGATAAGAGCCTTGCAGTCTAATACCCTTGATCAGTATTAACCCCTTTGGATGAGTTGGCAAACAAGGGTTACAAAAAAACGATTTCAGTTTTTTGGCAAACGTATATTCTGGCAGCCACTCCACCGGTACACAAAGAGTAGTAATAAATAAACCTGGAGAAAATGACATCCAAGTTACAATAACCACATGGCTTGCTCTTACTCAATGAAGTGGCTTCGATTTTAAAAAAAAAAGTCTTAATAAATACATATTAAATTATAAATTTGCCAAAGATTAGAAATTAAAGATGTTTATGCTTATAAGGAACCTAAGTTATTGAATTGGCAACAAAGTTACTCTGTAAAACAGAAACAATCTAGAAACGCAAGCCTTAATAAAATGCGAATGAAAACAGAAACATGGAAAAATTGTGCCAACTTATATTTGACCTCTCAGAGGTCAGACTTAATGCCACACCAAAAAATGTATGCGAAAATTTTTGCTCTTATCAAATCCAACCTTCAATTTGCCTATCTTGCACTTTTCCTGGTGAGATATAAAAAATAATAAAAATTAAAAATCAGTGGTAACTTAAAAAATACCTTGAGCCTCTTTTCGAGCCTGAAGGAGTTGAGGAGAAGGCTTGGGTCTGGGGAGTCCAAGATGTGAGGAGATGAACCGATTAGCAACCGACGCGTCACTAGGTGGGCGCTTCTTAAAAGGCATTGACCAATCCCCAGGAGATTTAGCGATCTTCCACTTTGATGCAACTGAAGCCTTCTCCACTGGTCGAGCTTTAATGATAATCCCCGATATACTCTTCAGTGCCTGTTCAGCAACAAAAGCCGAGGAAAATACAGCAAGACAATGTGTGTCATCCACCCATTTAATGATAAACCCGCTGGAATTGAATGGTGAGAGCTCGGACTCAATAGCCATTGTGTCAGCATCCGTAGGAAAATCGTAAAGTTCGATTATATGTTGATATTTTTCGTAATTTAGAGGTGGAGGATTTGTATAGTTTGAAGTGGAAGCACCAACTGGAACCTTAATTACCTCAGGCCGTATATCACCAAAGCTGATTACACCATTAGCGTCAAAACTCTCATCGAGATTAAGTCGCTGCAGAGAGCTATCAAGATCACTAAAAGGATCGGGAATTCCAGCGCTTTTTACGGACAATGTTTGACTGGAATTTGTTTCACCATTCTCATTGGTTGATTCAGTAATATCCTTTGAATTTCGGATAGGATTCAACACTTTCTGAGTTGGTGCATTATCTGCTGAGCTCAAATTAGCCAATTTTTCTTCATTATTATATGATGTGGCGGGTGTTTGTAGACTTTGGTGCTTACGACGACAAGGGGGAACGTAAAGGGCAACAGGAGGGCGCTTTGATTTGTTGGGAGGCGTTGACATTGTGAAATCTAAACTAATTATGCATTAATAATTCGTAAACCTTACTTAGGCGAAAGAAAAACTATGTAGAAAAATAAATAATACCAAAACTGGAGGACAGGCGATAAAAACCGGTGAGTCAAAATCACTGCGAAGGTTGACAAATTGGGGGAGGGGCATGCAAATTAAAACAATTTATTTGCAACTTCAGAATTATCTTTGATGTTTAAAAACAATTAGGAACTCTCTAATTATTTAAAAGATTATTTAAAAATTGTGGTTTTATATTGAACTAAACAGTGGCATTAAGTTACTGAAACTAAAATCTTGTAAATTAATGTAATAGGTTTGAGGAAGTCGTGTGCTGACTTAGAATATGGAATGTAACGAATTTGGCTCAGTTTTTTGTGTTATTATTTTATATTACTTTTATTTTATATTTTCCACAGCAAATATTTTTCGAATGTTATCATTAATCCTCATGTTAACTAAGGTCTTTGAGCTGCAATATTGATGCCTAATATACGGAATCGATTTTTGAAGACAACTGGGCTCAACTAATAATGAAACTAAGAGAAGTCTTACTCCTGTTTTTTTTAAAATAACGTATGGACGGAAAAATATGATCTATGTTAACCACCTTTGAAAGCAAATAAAGTTTTAGTAAAATATGCAAAGCAGTATATAAATTGTGGTTAGAAGATTAATCTGATTCTTTCTGTTGAGTAGGTTCGTGTAAAGGATTTTACTATATAGCTCATTTTCGGAAAATAGAGCTGAAACTAGATTGAAGATACTTTACAGTTTCTGTTTGTTATCATTCATAGGTTGCTGCGTAATGAAGTTTATATGAGATTACAAAAGTATCGTGTTAATAATTTGATTAATATAATTTAACTTGTTAAGACAAACATTTTTAAGTCATAGACTTGTTTGAACTGCTTTTCCCTCACATCAATCGCAACAACAGAGATTTTTATTTTAAGACCCAACATCACGTCATTTACTAGACCAGCGGTGACGACCTCCGAATATATATATATATATATATATATATATATACCTTTAACCAACTAGATTCTTAATTTTTCATTCAATAATTTTTACCTTACTCTAAACCCTTTTTTCTGGCTTTTTGGTACCGCTGATATATTCTTTTAAATAACAATTCTCCTCTTTAGCCTCAACATTCTAGAAAATTTAACTAAATTGAGCACTGCTTATTTGATAAAACGTTAATTAATTTTTTTTGATTTCCACAAATGAGGCACCTAAAACTTAAGCTTAAAAAGGTGAAGCATTTCCCTCACAGTTTTCTTAGCCAGAACTGCAATATTGAAGATCCAGCTGTATACCAACACTCTGAACCAAATTGCAACCACGGCAAGTATGTTAAGGAATAGAATTTATTGAGTCTATGTGACCTCCACACAACAGTTAAAACCAATGCACGCACATTTAAGTATCCACAAACTACTCGTAACAAGAATTTGGTGAAGGGTCTTGGGGACATCGATGGGATACCATCACTATATTCTTCACATCTAGCCTACCAGTGGATTAGTCTGCCTTTCTATTTGTCCAACGGCCAAACCGAACATTATGTGCAGGCAGATTAATTGTTCATGCTCCCCTGGGAAGCCCACACTTTTGCTGAGCCAAGATGATATAAAAGAGGATGGAAGAATTCAGATCCGAAAGCGTCAAAGGAACCCGTCCCAACTACCCGTCGGATCCTTCGTATTTGTTGCTTAATCCCATTTTTTATTTATCGCCCTCTCATCATTCCATTTTCTTCCGGCATAAAATCCGTTTTATTATTTATTCTTGGCTTCCTTTTATTGAGCTGCGGTTGCCAGATTTTTGCTGTTAGTTAATTAACTTATCTTTAAAAAGTCCGACTTTGTATTCCTGAGGTATTAAGAAGTAGACGTGAGAATAGTTTTTTTCACAATAATTTGCTTGGATATATGTTGCACATATTAATAAATATTGTTGCAAATGATTAATCTCTCGCTAACATCATTCATAAACAGTCTAGATATGCTTCTGCTTGTTTAAAGAAGTCTACACAAATGCCATTCACCACTCGAAGATATTACTTGCGTCTCAAGAGAAAGTATATATTTATAAACCCTAAATTTTTTCATTGAATGGAAGTAACTTTCCCAGCGACCTCTGCTTTAATCTACCTCCCATGAGTGACGTTATTTGTAGTTTCTATGTGACACTAAACCACATTAAATTACATACTCTGCTATAAGAGCTATGACAGATGTTACCTATTAATACAGTAAGAAATGGAAAACGAAACACATTATGCCCAGTGGAGCTAAGACGTAAGGTTGAAATACAGGATGTTAGCAGTGCAAGCAAGCGGATTACCTAAACAGTGAGTTGAAAGATGTACATGAAATGAAAACTGCTTAAATTCAACTGAAACAAGAAAAAACAAGTTAAAACGGTGGGAGAAGAGAATATATAGTCGAAATTGGAGCTTACTTAATCGAAAAATTAAGTATTAATATCAAAAGTGGGGGAAATTAGGCATATCATTATGCCAGACTTGGCTGAACAATTGTATTAATATTATAGCATAAGGTAAAATTATCATCAAAGGTGGGAAAACCAGATAAAATCTATATAGTGAAAATATCTGCTATTAATACTTTAAGTTCGGTTTTCATCTATTTGTACTGCTAAAGCAACAATGATTGCTAGGTAATTGTAAAATTAAAGGATTTTACATAATAAATAAAATGAAAACACTTCTTAGTAAAGCTTTATGTCTATTTGACTGGATACAAGCCTTTTAGTGAATTTTCGTGGAATTTGGTGTGCCCGGATAAGAGCTAATTACAGAAACTAGAAATGAATGAAGCTTGAGCAAATAAACTTGGTTGAATGATTGACAAAATTTAAATATATGATGCTATTAAGTTAAGTCAACTGAAGCTAAATATGATTAAGCCACTAAAATTGAACCGATATCTGTGACGAACTGACCAGGACGACTCAACTAATTTCGAACAAACGTGCTTAAAATGCATAAGCAAGCCTTTAAAACATATACAATACAAATGAACATTGAAATGCGCGGGTGCTTTATGCCACATTTATTGTAATTTAATCACAAATATGCTTTATACAAATATGTGTTTGAGTGTTCGAATCCACGCCCGCTAAAATGAGTTCGGTCGGGTTCTTGTTTTCACGTCTGAGGTCGGGTCAGAATCTTCTAACTAGGGCTGCCTCGGTTTCAAATTTGGTGCATATAAACAGTAACAGATCATTTTCTTCGGCAGAAGATGCATTGATTGACCCTAAAAAGAACTCCGTTTCCGCTAATGTGGATATTGTTAACTACAGTCTTGCAGGGTGTTTTATCGTCGGATACAATGAACATGGTTTTCAGCTCAGCAATGCTGCTACAATTTATGGACCTATGGTCTCTTTCCCACAAAATGCGTTTTCATGGAATGTAAGATAAATATTTGATTCTCCTATTGTTTTCTACAGATAAATTCAGCCAAGGAAATCAATGATGAGTCGATCTCACTCTTTCGTGTTCTGTGTCCTAGTTTAGAAGTTCTAGTTATTGGCAAGGGTGCTGCAAGTGAGGAGATTAATCAACGCGAAATCATGAATATGTGTTGGAAATACAATCTTGGTGTCGAAATTCTACCAACGGTATGCTCCTTGCTTTATTTATTGCATTTTTAGTCAACAGCTATTGGCGTTTTCAATTTCCTAAATGCGGAAGGACGCTATGTTGCTGCTGGTCTTATCCCTCCCATTCGAATTGATCTTATGGGGGGAGACCTTTCTAGTTTGAAGCGCCTTGAAGCTGCAAGGGATATTCAATTAACCATTGGACCCTCACCGAAAATCAGAAAATTACCCATGATGGAACCCTCTAAAGTCCAAAAACCTCTTCTAGAGGATAAGAAGGAATGAAGGCTCAGTCTGTGTGTATATGATTTCTTCTTGTACAAAATAGTAGTGAAAATATCTCAAATATACTTATTTTAATAGTCTTATCTTGGTTTTTCGGTCTGAGTTTTCATGGGTTACTTGCCCTATTGAATTCCCTTGATTTAACACATAAGGTATAATCTTGATTAATTATTGGATGGTTGGTTATGCAGGTTCTTGCAATGGCTCTGCAGACGACTATTATGCGACGAATGGCTCTGAACTCAAGCCGTAATGGAAGTCGGTGTTGGAGGTTCGTATCGTCAAAGTCGAAATCTTCCAGTTTGGATGTGTCGGAGGAGGAGAAATTAATTCATCCCTCTCTAAAGACTTTTGTCAACCGAACTGCAATCGCTATGCAAATGCCTGATATGAGACGAAAATATGCAATTTCTGACGCTCCATTGATTCCTAGCTACTTTCTTGGAAAGCTACAATTGGTATGGATTTTGTGCATTAAATATCGTTTCGAATTCAATTATTGAAAAACCCACGATGACAGTTCATTTATATAAGATTGTTTGACCAGTGAGTGGGATGGCCAACTGTCTTGGCTAATCATTGATAATTAAAGACTAGAGATGTGGGGGGGGGGTGGCAGAATTCGAGTTTTTCATCAGGAAGTATCCTTAAAGTCATATGGAAGTTGGAAATGCGTACGTGTAATGATCTTAGGAATTATCTGTGTTGCTATAGAGCTTCATTGGTTTATCTTTACGTGGAAATGCAATTTTTGTTTGAAGGTGCCTCATGACATTAAGACATTCTCCTCTGTGTACGCTCCTGTGTCGGTAGTAATGAGTGATGATTTCAGGAAATTAAGTATAGACTAAAGGAAGGTAGCTCCTTTGCTAGTTCTGCTTAACCATTCATCATCTGAAGTCTTCATTGTTATATTACTTCACAAATTCTCTCAATTTAATTAACCTCATTGATATTTCTGAGAACAACGCTCTCCGGTATTTGGCAAACCTAGTTCTCTCTAAACTGCGACACAATAGTGATTAAATGTTGCTATTAATAGTATGTTCTCAACACCGATAGTATCCCCAAGCGTTAACATGCACTTGGCTCCTCGCAATTCCTTGTAAACTTGTTCTTCGGGTTTTTACAAAATTTAACTTTTCCATCGGTTATATATCATTTGCATTCTTTTTTTAACCTACGTTGAATTCGGGCTTGTAAAATTTACGCTCGATTTGTACCTTCGAGGTTTTAACACTGATTACAACTGTTTCAGGAGCTCTTGGAATATCCTGAGATGTCGACAAGGGAAGAAGTCACACAGGCCATTTCACTATTCACCACGGTCGAAGAGTACATGCTCAATCGAGGTGGGGTTTGGCTTTGTTAACCATTTAACTTGCATCCTTGCGCCCTTTCAGTTAACAGTAGGCAAATTGATGAACAAGGCGCCTTGCCATCGGATGTGTTGAACGATTGCAAAACAATGGGTCTATTTGGCCAAAGAGTGAACCAAAAATACGGGGGGCTTGATATGAGCCCTCTGGAGTCGATACTCGTTGGTGAGGCAATGGGTTATGATCCCTCATTGTTTGCCACTATAACTGTGCATGAGGCTCTTGCTATGAAGGTACAATTTGAACGTTTCTGTCTTCCATCTTAAGTTCAATGATTCTACTTTGTGTTTGTAGGGCCTTCTGTTGGTCGGGACTGATGCTCAGAAGGACAAATATTTGCCCCCTTTGGTTTCCGGTGAGAAGATTGCTTCCTTCTGTCTTGCTGAAGCCTCTAGGTAATTAAGCATTTGTGCGTCGTCTGACTTCCGTTTATTTTAATTAACCTGAGCAATTAATGCTTTGTAATAACTCATTTTTGTCTACAGATAATGTATAGAAAAATTAAATAATATCTTAAAAACCTTTTTTGGGAATGCGAATTTTATTGCCTCTGGTGGTAAAGTTCACGACCATTTAAAATCCCTCTTGGTGGGTCACGTGAGCTATCAAAATATCGTTTTAGCCTGTAACTACAACGCGCTTAATTAACGTTATATCATTTATATCATACATACGGCTGTTTGTAGTTTAACTGTTTACCCACCTCATTAATAGCAGGCTCTTGAGTGCTTTTTGAACCTGTCAATAGTTAGTGATAGTGGCTATTCTCACATGAAGGTCGGCCATCCCATTTGACTCTCTTCTAACAACAAAGTGTCTTAATGTATATTCCACCCCATCTACTCTTCACCCAGAACTATTTTGAGTCATCCAACGTAAATCTATCATTATCACTCACAGAAATAGGTTCACAGAGAAATAGAATTTGCTAGGCCTTTCTAATAAAGGGTGATTGTGGTTGAGTTTCTCACTAGGCAGGCTTCATTATGCTTCCTCTCTACTACAGAAGAGGAGTTTCGACAAGCGCCTTCCTAAGTGGTCTTGGGAGTTGTTATAGAGATAAACTTGGTTATTTAGTTAACATGGACACAATAGATCCGCTTCCGAAGGAGAAATAGAGGCCATTAGTATAGCACTATGTCAATTATGTTGTCTGGATACGAAATTCACCAAAGTGGTGATACTTTCGGAATCACAGTCAGCAATAAACTCTATCGGAAACAGAGAGCCACCCAAAACGGCTGAGATAAACGAATGTAGAAAACTCTATCAGCTGCTGAGACGAAGATAAACGAATGTAGAAAACTCTATCAGCTGCTGAGAGAAAAAAAACAATGGTCCTACAATGGATTCCTGGTCACTGTGGAATTAAAAGCAATGAGCTTGCTGACACACTTGCTAAGAAGGGGACAACGATTTTGCAATGCATGGACCGGCCGATGTCTTTCCACACAATGGAGACCCTAATCGGGAGAGAATTCAAGACCTCAAGGTGTAACGAACTTAAAGCTCAAAAAAAGGAGAAACAGTGGACAGTGGCACTCTCCAACATAGCTGACTGGCCAAGAATCGAAGCCGTTGCTGAGTTTAGACTACGTACCGGACACGATTGCTTGGCAAAACACCTTCACAGATTGGGAGTATACATTCAACCTACATGCCCCTATGTAACATACAGGAGGAAATGGAGAAGACCCACCTGATTCGGTGTCCAGCCCTAAAGACAACGACGGAAAGCTAGAGATACTGGGAAGCAAGAAGACAGCTTATGAACCGCTATATTTTGTACCCCCCTCCCCCCACCCTTGGGGGAAGCTGAAGTCAAAGTTTAAGAGCTAATGATAAATATCATAAAGCCTACTATTTGAAATAATAATAATAATAATTTAGTTAACACGAAAGTGACTAGTTTTCACATTTTCAGCGGCTCAAGTCCTACGCAAATGAAAACACGCGCCGTTCTCAGCACCGATGGTACGCATTACATTCTCAACGGGTGTAAATCCTGGGTTGTCAATGGTTCTCGCGCTGATGTCTTCACTGTCTTTGCCTTGACTTCAATCCCAAACGACAAGGTGCTTATTTTAACTAAATGAGGTGATTTAATCGTGGCACTGAATACGTTGAGGGTGAAACAAAGTTCGTGTGGCATTTGTATACTTAATGCTTAATGACATCGATATATTAGTAAGATACTCGGTTAGCCTGAAAACATTAGTGTTTCTATGACAAGTTGGACTTCTTCTTAGACGGGGTTTTCAAAGTTGAAGCCTGTGTGTGTATAGGAAGGAATTGCATAGTAAACATTGGGAGAACTGCAGAATTCACATTCGATTTGCTTTGCTTTTACTTTTCTCATGAAATTCTTTAAATTTATTTAATCTAGTTATGTTGCTCTTGTAATTTGCCGTAAATGTGCCAGCACACTGATATTCTCCATGTCACTGCGGATCATTGTTCCATCCTTCAAATTTATCTACCTCCCCCATTATTTCTTAAATTTAGGGCGAGGAAGAAGACAAGGTTTCTGCCTTTCTAGTCGAACGTGGTTTTGAAGGGACTATTGAATTGCAGCCCGCATTGAAGTTAACAGGTCTCAGGGGTCTGGATCGTAAGTATCTATCGTTTTCGCTTCCCTCTTCCCATGAAAAGAACAATTTATTAATTTGTTTTTTTCCTAGTCGTCGACGTCACTTTCAAAGACGTTAAAATCCCTGTAGCAAACGTACTTGGTGAGCTTGGATCCGGTGCTGAAGTAGGCTGCTTAAATTCTCCCTAGTAGCATGCTATTTCTGAGTGTCTCCTCTGTGGGCATTACTTCTCATTTCTCCTCTAGCTCTCCGGTCGCATAGCATGCATGGATCGCTATTTGATGGGTGGTCTCTGCATTGGTATGTGTCGTGATGTGTTGGACGCAATGACGGAACATTGCACATCCCGTCAACAAATGGGCAAACCACTCTCCGACCTTGGAATTGTTCAGCACCGTCTCTCTCAAGCAGCCGCTCAACTTTATGCCATGGAGTCTGTCACCTACCTCGTTGCTGGTCTCCTGACTGCTCAACCTGATCGTGACTTGAAGATTGAGTCGACTGCTGTCAAGGTAAATTGACAGTTTCTTGCGGCGCCAATGATATTTCGAAAGTGAATCTCATTTTATTTTCACCACTAGCTCTTTACAACTGAAACGACCATCGCATTGTTGAACAGTTGTGTTAACCTAGCAGGTGCTATGGGATTCACAAAGGTTCTTCCATTGGAGAGATATCTTCGAGACGCTAGGGTGCTAACTTCTCTCTTGGTGAGTATTCACTTTGTAACAGTTATAACTTAACTGCTCTTGACGCATATCTACCCAAATCTAGATATTCTATTAACCTCTCCTGACTTCTATAAACTGGACTGACGTAAACTCGAGCTTTCTAACTGTAGTATTAATCAGGCCAATATGTTAGCTCAAACTGTTCAGTGGTATTGGGAATACCCTGCTATCCATCTATGTACCTACATCAATAGAGTCCATCTATTCAAGTCAGGCTAAAGCTAACTTACCAACCTAAAAATGTTGGAGGGAATGTGTATACTTCAGAAGCCGACATGCAAGGCTCAAATCTTCAGGGTCTGTTTTGCCTCGAGGTCATCAATCACTCTTATTTAAATTCGGGTGCACATGTTTGCTGGCAGCTTGACAATTACTGCAGCCTATCATTTTTTACCAATTCTGTGATGCTTTTTTCTTCAAATCTTAGTTATATGAAGTCTTTGTTCAGCTAACGAGGGGTCTTGAGTTGGTTGTATTCTCTCCTAGTATGAGTTAACGGTAATCTGACTATATCCTGTATGAAAATGGATCATAGCATCAATAATTCTCAGCATAGAAGAGTATGTGTGGTAAATTTTTTTCATTCACTTTTGCTGATAGTGCAACGAATAAGATAGAAGCCACGAATTAGACGTCTACTTATGTATACCCATTGGAAGGTCCTGGAGCTCTATGGCATGGACTTTCATTCTGGCTGGTTACTGAAAATGATTAGCCTGATAGGCCTGGGAGTTTTATGCATGTATCACCAATTAAGAAGCCTGGAAAGTAGCCCCAATTCTGTGACTCGTTTAATTAATTGCATCTCTATGCTTTTTAAGAGGCTTAAACCTCACCTAATGTAATCGTTTTATGCTTGATCCAAAGCAAGCCTCGGTTATAACAATTCTGTTTAATTACCTTTAGGGTGTGAACGATGTGCTCCGAATATACATTGGCTCTGCTGGCTTGAGTATTGCAGGAAAAGAGATTCGTCAGTTTGTAGAGTACGCTCGCAAGCCTTCAAATCATATTTTCTACATGCTGCGTGAAGCCATGCGAAAGGACTGGCGATTGGCGCGAATTCGTCGCGGAAGGGGTTCGCCTGCCGTTGTCTCCTCTGCTCTAAAGGAGACAGAACGCGGAGTTCGTGTCTCTATGCAGTTATCAGATCATCTCCACCCAAATCTGCGTTCAGTGGCTGACAGACTCTCTCGTGCTATTATTCTTACTCATGAGATTGCCAGACAAGTTTTCATACTTCACGGAAATGTGGGTCGTATAGTTTAGAATTCCCCTTCTATTGTAGCTAATGTTAAACGCATTCATGTTCTTTTAGAATCCAAACAAAGATCACCACTCCTTGTGCCTTCTATCGGATTTGGCTGTGGGATTATTAACAGTTACCGCCGTTATTAGCCGAGCTTCTCGCGCAAAGAGTATTGGAGTGAAATACCATAATAACGAGGTAGGCTTTCTTTGTATAGAGGTATTGAAATCTTTAACTATAATGTCGGAAATGATTTCCTTTGTTACAGCTAGAGTTGGCAGAACTTTACGCCCTGGAGACCCTGGATAATTTAGAAGCGAAGCTCTCAAGCTTCAAACAGAAGGCTAATTTAAGCAAACGCATCGCTAATGTGATGGTGAAGGAAAATGGATATGCTTCGGCCAGTCCTCTGACTCGCGTCTGGTAGATTTCTAAATGCTAGTGGGGCTGTTTCCATTTTTTCGCTTTCCGCAAAAAATTTGTATAGAATGAAGTAGTAGTATTACTATTTATTATTTTCTGTTTTGTTTGTGCATTTTAAAGCAACCATTTTATAAAGTGAATCTGTTTCAATGACCATTGGTGGGTGGTAAATATCAAGGAATTGGGAGTGATTGTCGAACTACTCCATCGATCCGCTTGCATTACTTGTTGCTTATTCAAGGGTGAGGTAAATCTGGGATGGGTATAATTTTAACAAATAATTTTAGACAGTGGAAATTTTCCGAGGAAATTCGTGGCCTAAATAGGAAGGAGGAATTCATTAAGTTATGAAAACCTATTGATTTACTCCAAACGAGTGGAACTTCCTTTGCCTCTTGTTTGCGCTAAGTATTTATTCATCTTTTGACAAAAGGGTTTGATTTATGGAATAGAACCAACACTGAATAGCATATTAAAGTTAGTGTTTCATTATCAGACTGACGAAAATAAAAATTTTAATGATCCTAATGCCTTTTAGTTATAGAACTGGAATGTTCACAACTATATTATATTTTTTGATTGGGGAATTCAGCTAGCATAAAATAGTTGAACGTTGTCCTGAGTAAAGAAAATTGGTTCATAATGGGAAATTTTATCTATTCACACCGCATTAATTCCAAGACGCAAAGGAGTAAATTTTCCATTATTTATAAGATATATCAAATGAAAACTCTAATAATGCACAACTTTAAGAAATATTCTTTAGAGATTAAGTCGTGCGAATTTAACAAAAAACTTTGAAATATGAGACTTTGACGGGATATTTTACAGAACCCACACCCTATAGTGACGATCTCCAAGATTTATGAAATGAATAGGGTTGAAATGATCTATGAGTCGTCAAAGGGATTATTTGAGAGATCATTAATTATAAATATGTTGATATATAAAATCTATCAGTAAAATATAAACAGCAATTAACGCCTCACAAAGAATTTAAATTTTTTAAGGAGAAGCAGTATTGACAAATGTTCTTTAAAAGAATGCATGTTTATTATAATTTGTTTAGGTACATTAGATAGTTAATCCTTCAGTACGCCCATTGGTTAGTTTGACGACCTCAACCTACTGGCTATTCTATTTTGTTCGGTGTTTTGGCGACGTTTTACTTCTCATCCGCTCTTGTAACCGAATAAATCTTATGCCATTTAAAGTCATTAGCTCCCTGGTTCACTTTCGTAGCTAAATTTCAACTGTTTAATCATGTCAAAAAGCAAGTTCAATGAGGAAAAAGGGAGAAATCGAAAATTAAGGAGCTCAAATGATAAAGAAAGTGTCTCTAAGGCGCTAATTAACAGTAAAAGCATTTTCCAATCGGGAGCAGAAAGATCGCGAATTCGTAAGCCTCATAAGAGAGGTCGGTCGGGTTTCTTCAGGGATATTGGTTCTGAACTTTTCCAACGTCTTTTGATTGGCTTGACCGTTTTCTGTTGTCTCCTTGGTGTTCTTTACTTCGGCGTCCAGTTTAATCAAGCATCGAAACGACAGCGACAATTCTATACACCAATCAATCTTCCAACTGTGATAGGTCCAAACGCGACTGCTCCTGATCAAAATCATGAACTCTTTTGGGGAACTTATCGACCAAATATCTTCTTCGGAATGTCACACAGAAGTCCACATTCGATGCTATTTGGATTAGCATGGGTGGCATTCGATGGGAAATCCATTGCTTTTCGTCACCAGTGCACTACTGATGGTGATTTGAAGAGGTATACTGTCTTTCAATTAATTAATTCGCAAATAATGCTAATTATGTTCACGATTATCTCTCATTCCCAGTTATAACTGGATTGAACATGATGGTCGAAATTACGGAATTGAATCGGTAATAAGTGGAAATCACAATATTACCGTGGCTTTCGTTAAGCGACCCAACACTCCTTATGGTGGCGATTGGACTGCCAGAATTTCAGTGTCTCCGGTTAATAAGGTTAGTTCTCTTGATTCGGCCTTCTCGTTTTTTTAACTCCCTGCCTGTATTTATAACAGCCAGCGTTTCAAACTTTTAATTTCTGGTCAACTGGCAGCCTTTGGAATATGGCGGTAAAGTGGTATTGATCATGCCAATTTTGTACCGTAGACGCGAACCTTAGTTACTGATGAAATTGACATAACCTCTTTGTTGTTGAACCGAACAGTCTGAACTACCATGTGTTCTATGTGTCAGTTACGATGATATTTGGGTACTGTATTATTTTCAGGGAAAGAATAGTAATATTCAAAGATTTCTTAAGACTTTCAATTATGATTGGTATGCCATTTTTTTCTTGAGGCCTGGTGTGTTTGATATTTGTTAGGAATTCCGGTTCGGATTGAATGTGTCTTTGTAGACCAAGTGGCTGGGGAGTGCTTCAAGAGCAAAGGCTTGTACTTATGTATATGTTGTAAGCCAGTTTTGGTTCATCCGATGGAAGCAGAAAGGTTTGTGTTTTTCATCCAACTCACACCTTCGGCTCATGGGCTTGCAAATTAATTAAGAACAGTGTATTTCAGTATTACCGTCGGTCTGCCTGTGATATAGTTTGAATTTCCGTAATGAATTAGCTTTTGCTCTTTATTTTTGTCTGGTTGTTGTTAAGTATTCGATTTTCAGAAGAATCTGAAGCGTTTTAAGTTGTATTTGTGCAAGCATTTCCTCTTCCCATTTGTAGTCACTTTCAATGTTGCCCATTTCTGTTCTCTTCTACGCTTACCTACCTGACATCTCGCGCGGACGCATTCAATCGTATGCTGATAAACGCGAACTGAAACGACTGAGAGGTGAGTTGGTAGATTCTCTCGGTTTTTCTTGAATGTGTTAGTAAAATTGTACAATTTTGCTGTCCCAAAGTGCAGAGCATTCCATGATTTAGAAGCACTTGAGCCTATTTAGGGAAGTATTGTATAACTCAATGAAATCTCCAAAGTGAGCAACTTGAATTGTCCACTTTTAGTAGCCCGAATTGGTCAGTGAGATTGGCTCTTCCGCCCACTATGTGTGTGCACTGGGGCGTATCAAGCCTGTGGCGTAAACCATTTTGTCATCAGTGCATTGACAACACCTAACACTAAATTGTCCCTCTTGGATGTATGACCCATTCTCTCTCTCTCTCTCTCGACATTATTCCTATATATTCGCTTTGTCCTCTCCTTCTCTACCTTAATTCCGAGAGGTGATGAAATGGGCAAGAGCTTTCCACGAATTTGAGAATTTCAGGGTCGAAGCAGCATATTTGAACTTGTTTTCAAACCTTGACTTACATGTCCGATGAGTGAGGGCATGTTTAAAAGCAGTCCTTAGTCAAGAGGTTTTTAAGCTGTTGTTTGCGTGTCATAATTTTCTCAACTTCTTTGCTAGATTTGATAAGAAGGTGTGAGGTAGTTGGTCACCTTCTGGTGAGTATAAAGGTGAATTGAGTCGTGTGATCTTTCCAACTAGTGCACCGATATTACTGATATGTGGTTTCTGCCCTTTTTGTGAGAGGATATTTAATATCTGAGCTACTGGAAGTTTATAAGCAAACGAGTCGGGGTCATAAGTGGGGAGCTGATAGTGCCTAAACTTAGTTAAAATCTGAAGTCAATAAGTTCATTTGAAATTTCTGCGTATTACGTGATAAATGTCTATTCTTCCCAAATGCCTGATGTATTAACAACAGTAAAGACTAAATTAATGGTCTCAAGCTTTTAGTGATCGGCTAATTATCGTTAACTGTAATTAATTTCTTCTTCAGTACACGAGTTTATCCGGTAATGTGTTGTTTTGGTTGCATGCGTCAATTATCACTTATTCAAAAACTATGTTCCCCAATATGATAATATACGTTTACTGCTTGAGTGACAGTCACTTTGAGTGCCCACGGGTTATGAAGCTTTGGTTCATCAAGGTTGGGGTGGGAGGGGGGGGGGCTGGGCTGGGCTGGGCTTCTGTATGTTGTGTAAGGTTTTTCTTCAATAAATGGATTAGAGTTACAAGTTCGGTCATTTGGATTACAAATGCCGGTTAGCATGCAAATATTGTATATTGCTAGCTCGAAATTGCAATGAATCAAGACTCCTTAGTTCTCTAACGTTGCTCTCTTTATCTTTTTGACTCTCTCTCCCCCACCCCCCCCCCCATCTCTCTGCTTTATAAATAGCTCGATTCCAAATTGTTCGACGTCATTTGCTGTTTTTCCACCACAGTTAACTATTATGTGTTTTGTGATAATTAACTTGCTGTGTGTATTGATTTGGTTGTTGTGGGGATTTCACATGGATTTAAGAAGTTCTATTCCACTTCCGTCTTCGTTTTAATATTCCGAAATATATCAGTTAACTAATAGAGAGGGAGGGAGGGTGGGTGGGAGAGATAGAAAGAGATGGAGTGGAATAATCGAGGGTCTGCGCCACTAGTCTTGTAATTTACCTATTGTTGTGTCTTACTCGCCACATCTGACTTATTGCTAGAGGCGAGTGCAATACTGTTCAAACAAACGTCTAACTTTAAACGGCACTTTTGTTTAAACCAATCAAACAGTTCAGGCTAATATTAAACCGTTTGAATTTATATTGTTAACTAAATTTTCCAAGGCTTCCCTTTATTCCTTCTCCCATTTGTATTGTCTTGGTTGTTTTTTGCTGAATTTTCGACTACATTTGTGTTCACATCTTACTGCGTTCGTGTGAAACAAGCTCTCTCTCTGTTAAGGTACTTACCTTTGGTGCAATTTAATAGCCCATGCGATTGCTAAGTGATGAATAACCTTTTGCTGCTTATTTACATTATTAAACTTTTTTTTCAAATGGCAGGTGTTTTAATAGTTGTTATTAGCCATTTATCTGACTTCGGGCTTCACAGAGAGGAGGAGGAACATCAAAGTGGCGAAAATTCGAGAGGGGGGCGGGGAGACAAAATGATGATTCATAGATGTAACAGAGACAGACAAACACAAAGGTAGAGAAAAGGTAAGATGAATACCGTGAAAGTTATCGAATACGACATACAGTGGGATCATGGTAGTTTGAAGTCAGGAGTCAACAGCCGGTTAATAGACTTTTTTGCCGTATGAGTGTACGTTGCCCAGGGTGCACCACGTGGAGATAAGTCTATCGCACACCCCTAGCACTTAGACATTAAGTAGCACTGGGCTAATGATACCTATCCTAAAGCCGGCCCTTTGATAACATACAGTAAGTAGCATCCCAGCGGGTCTCTGCTTGACTAATTAACACAACTGGCTTTTCTGCTCACCTAATATGCGTCGATAGTCGGGATGTGCGGTTGACTTACCTCCACGTGGTACACCCTGGGCAACGTATACTCATTATGGCAAAAAATTCTATTAATCAGCAGTTGACTTCTTACTTCAAACTACCATGACCCGACTGTTTGTCATATTCGACCCCTTTCACAGTACTCAGCTTACCTTTTCTCTGCCTTTGTGTCTGTCTGACTCCTTCACATCTGTGAATCATTATTCTGTCCCCCCCCCTCTCGACTTTTTCTTCAGATTGCTGTTCCTCCTCCTCCGAAGTCAGCTAAAGGGCTAATGGTAACAATCAAAACGCCTGCCATTTGATAAAAGAATATGCGTCGACAGAGGGGGAGGGGGGTTCCTGGCCGTGATATCTGAATAACCTGAGGAGCTGCGTTACCTCTTTTGTTGTCAGTGTTCAAAGCCTAATAACTTCGTACCTTTGTCCAATATCCACGGTTTAATTCCTTTAATGCACATTATCAAGGTTATAAGAAATTCTGAAGAGTTAATCAATTACCCATTTGCTGTGTTATCCTTACTAATGTTTACAACGCCTATCCTAAATACATTCGGACAAGTACTTACTTCCAATCTCCCGACTTAGTTGCGTGTGCATCTGGCATGTAAGTATCATTGTTTTGAAACTGATAGTGTACTTTGCCATTCGAGTGTTTCCGCTTTTTTCCTTTAATTTCACCTCTCTTTTCATTTCATAGGTTTCACGCACGAGTTGGGCGCCTTCCAGGTTAACTTCCACGCAGCAAAAAACAGGAGTCACGAGTCCACTCATCTTGCTGGTTACTGTCCGCGAGAGGATGCAATTGTGGCGGCGCTTTCAAGTGGTCTGGCTCTCCGAGATGAACCCTCAGTCTTCTTCACCGGTCGGCAAGAGGGCCTTTACGGTCCCAATGTTCCCATGCCCGACGTCCCTGCCAATATCTGGGCGAGTGAGGCCACTCTCCCTGGTATTCGAACTGAAGACACTATGCCAGACAAAGTAGACGTACTGGAAGTGGAATTTGTGAGTCAGGCTTCCACTTCGTCGGATGCTGTTCCACTCACGGGGAAGGAGTTTGATGCTGCGCTGGCAAGACATTCAAAAGCATTTCACGAGAACTTTGCTAAGAAATTTCCTCACGATCCAAAAGCATTTAGTGATAAACAGGTGAGATAGGTTTTTTATCTAGGTTTCTACATTATTATTATTAAGACTTGACTTCATTTTTCAAAGCTGCGTATTCCAGTATACTGACTAAAATATCTAAATATCCTTTTGGAAATAATACTTTACACTTGAATTTCATGTACCCATTGTAATATGTGTGTTTGCCAAGTGTATCAATTCTTAGTTTATCTCAGTCTACATGCGCATATCTAGGTGAAAATCTATTTGTGAATAATTATATTGTCACCATTGCCGAAATTAATGTTTTTTCATTATATTTTCTTCCCATTATTATTGAAATAACAATGAATGTCAAATTTATTTGAATGAAGAAACATGATTTGTGCTATACTTTGCGTATTTTGAGTAGAACTGTAATAGTTTTCGCTATAGCAACGATGGCATGTTTTTTATTTCTTCTGGCTGAGATTTTGGCTTGTAGTTCATTATAAAAGCCTGAGGGGAAAATGATTACACAATGTACCATGTTCCCTCCCTCACCCCCCCCCCCGCCTTCGGTATTTGCCATTGAAATAATTCACCATTCTCAAAGTCAATTTCTAAAAATAAATGTGTTTTGGCAGGAGTAGCTTGGCTTAGAAGTTACCGATTGCGGGTTGACAAGGCGCGTGCCTAGTTATTGGCAACAGTCTCTAAATTAGTAATCTCAAAAATGAATATGTGCTTGAGAGTTGAGGTCAAATTGTAGGTGCCAGGTACCCATGTTCTTGTGAATTTTATTTGGGCTAACTTTTGCGATCTTTTGATTTCAGATAGAAATGTCGAAAATCACTCTGAGCAATATGTTGGGTGGAATTGGTTACTTCTATGGAACTAGCCTAATTACCGCATCACCACTCAACAACAAGTCAAATGCGGAGCCTGTGATTTTGGAATACTTTCCAGCAAGTCTTTTCACCGCCACTCCATCAAGAAGTAAATTTCCAAGGGGTTTTCTCTGGGATGAAGGGTTCCATGCTCTTCTTCTCGGTCGTTGGGATGTTGAATTGGCACTGCAGAGCCTGGGTCATTGGTTGGATCTACTCAGTGCAGAGGGATGGATTCCACGAGAGCAGATTTTGGGTTGGGAGGCGAGAGCTGTGGTACCCAAGGAGTTTATCGTTCAATCAACGTCAGTTGCCAATCCTCCTGCTCTCATTCTTGCTATTGAAGTAAATTTTGCTGTCAAATATTATTTTTTTCGTGCTTATCATCAGCGAATTTTATCCGACGAAGATAGGCAGCTAAACGGATTATCATCACTAGTTCGTCTGCCGAAACTTAATGCCTACTTTCCTTTTGCTTTCATAGTCTCAAAATATGAAAGAATGTTATTTACACTCGATCGAGTCCGGAAGCGGTAGATTTCCTACCAGTTTTATGGCGACCATATATTTTTTTCATATAAAAATTGTCATAAATCTAAAAATATGATGCAGTAAGTGGACTAGAAATGCTCTTTAATTCATGACAGATTTGTCGGCGTGACTTGTGTTAACCTGCGGCCTTCCACTTAGATCAGATTTTCTAAACCAACTTATCAAGTCATTGATATGTGGAGATTCAGTGCGAAAGCGTTAGTGCAATCTAACCTTTGTTTCAGCACTTAAATAGTGACAAGAGAACAAAATTTAATGGTTAAGGTAATTGGGGCCAACTCGGAATCCACATGCTTTTTCTAACTTCATAATTTGCCACAACGATCAGATGATGGTAAGACGTGTATCTCTATTGTTGATATCGAGAATGGTCAAAATGCATTCCAAAACCAATTCAACTGGATATCTAATATGATCCGCTTTCTCAGCTACTGGTTAATAGATATATATGTACCGGTTGTTTTCCTTAAAATATCTGCATTTGCTCTTTTTAAAGGAATTGCTGGATCGAAGAGAGGCACACATGTCAAAAGAAGAGAAGGCTATGTTCGACCGATGGATGCTTCTTGCTCTTCCACGACTTCGAGCATGGTTCTCGTGGTTGTATACCACTCAAGCTGGCCCACTTCCAACTTCCTTCCGCTGGCGTGGTCGCCCGCTTAACAACCCTTCTCAGTTGAACCCCTTAACCCTTGCATCTGGTAAGTCTACTGTAAACGACTCATTAACCTTGCCAGCAATTGTTGACAATTCAACCCAAGTAAACTTGATTGCTCCCTGTGAAATTATGAAGTAGTATATTGTCTTTTGGCGGTTAGGTTTGTCATAGATCGTATATTTTGAGATCCCAGTGCAGTCATTCAGACATAAATAACGAAGGGGTTCATATTTTTTATCCGATGATGAATCAGAATGCAATCCTAAGCTTAGTTGGGACTAGAAGAAAAGAAGTTACCTGTGATTTCATTTTTTTTCTACCAGTGTTTATATCAACAATAGATTAGGAAGAAGACTGGTAACAAGGTGTATTTTTATTATTAATCGTCTTTAAAATTATGGAGAGACGAGGGGAGGGAGAGATAGAGAGAGAGAGAGAGAGAGTAATTGGTGGGTGCTAGTAGTGGAGGCTGTGGCTCTGCAGTGAGAGTGACCTTTTGTAGATGGTCGACACGGTAGCTCAAACTGGTTCAGCAGGCAGACGGCTTTAATTGTCCTGTATTTGTGCGGGTTAGGTAAGCGTGTTCAAGCTGGTCTTAGAGCCGAAGTATGATGAAAGGGTTAGTGAAATTGGTTATATTCACAGTTTGGAATATTTGCAGAGAAAAAAGACTCCTCATGTTTTTTTGAAGGAATGAGTTAGGCAATATAAACGGAAATGTTAGTTCTCTAATAACTTAATAAGTTTAGTGATTATTAGCGGTATCTCTATTTTAGTCTGTTTTTTTATTAAGCGCTGGTTTCTATCGATAGGTTGAACTGGCGAGCTTTGCTGTTGATTGTGCGACAGTTAATGAAACCCTAAATCAACTCTTCATTCGTTTTAGGTCTCGATGACTATCCTCGCTCCTCCCACCCGTCAGAAATAGAGCGTCATCTAGACCTTCGCTGTTGGATGGCCGCTTTCTCTCGAATCATCTCACGTCTAGCCACTCACTGCGAGACAACACTTCGCGTCTCCTCTCCCAACGACCCTTACCTTGTGCCCCTCAAATCTCTCGCAGATGAATTCCAGGGAATTGCTGCACAACTGCACGACATGCAACGGTTGGACGAGTTGCATTGGGATGAAAGCAATGGCATTTATGCTGACTATGGCCTACATTCAGACAAAGTGGCTCTGGTTCAACCCCCAATGGATAGAGCACCTGTGCCGGGAGAGCCACTGGTAAGAATATTTTCTGACAACTATTCGGGTTTATATCCCTCCACGACCCAAATCGGACCCAATTGGCAATAGCCATGGGCAGCGTCTTGATCACTGTCTGCCCCTCTTTCTGTCAACTTCAATGGATAAGCTACGAATTTGTGGAAGAAGAGACTAGTTTTTTTAAACTCCCAAACCTATTGAAAAGGGCATTTCCCAACTCATCGTAAGTAGAGGAGTACTTGCATATAGCCGTCCTGTTGAGAAAATGGATTTTTTAACTGGGACTTCATTCCACTCGCTGAGTTTGCACCGATGGATATCAAGTCTGTGCATTTACGTTGTATTCAAATATCAGCAGTGCTACATACTGCTAATTTTTAATACTCATTGTCGTCAACTTCTATATGCATATTTTTGTTTAGCTAAATTCAGTTTCCGATTTCCATTCTATGCCGATCAGTCCTTGAGGCCACAGTTGATGTGATGAGTGGTCCTTCAAATTATTGCTCTCTATTCATTTGTGCCTGGCACTTTTGCGCGGTATCTTTGGGTGGCTGTTTCCAATTATAAATGACTTGAGTTTTTAAATTTTGCTATTTTTATTTTTTTATACACACAAAATCTTTCCAAGACGAGGGTGGTTTGTGAAATGGTCCGAATAGCAATCCATTTTGGTTTCATGCATCGATTTGAATAGTCCTGTTACTTGTCTCATAAACAATGCCTTTTTTATGCCAACCTCTATTTGTGTCACAAATAAAATAACCTTCTCCTGCAATGCAATTATCTCTTCTCCACGTCATAATTGACCCCATGATCTTTAGTTTTAAATGGCGGTTGTGTTAAGCTTAGTGTGCACATCTCTGACGATCCGGCATTATCGGCACTCATCATTTTTCTTAACTTCAGGGAACGTTGATGTTCATTTAAGCAATCAACTTTGAACTTGAATCTTATTATCTCTTGCCTTATGCATATTATATTTTTTGGGATCATATGACTATGTGGGAAATCATACATTTTCTGAAATAATGTGCTTCTGTGTGTGTTTCCAATCAGAGAAACTTTCTTTTATAACCAAAATCTTATATTTCCACTGGCTTTGGTTCATAGTAGGTATTTGGATAATTTCCAAAAATAAATCAATAAATAACTGTTAATAATTGCTTCTTACTTATAATTAAACAAGTAAATGGCTGTGTGAGTGGATGCCTCAGCGACAGTCTGTCTTATTATTAGTAATCCATAATTAAGATAATGAGAAGAGTGGATAAAGTGTGGCGGTCATTGCCATTAGCTCACACTAGATGAAACAATAACTTGCTGTTATTGACGCGTTGTTAGTATGCCTATTATTACTATTTTATCGTAAATATACAACTCGGCTAAGGTGCAGCTCTGTCAATTATTCAAGAAGCCGACCGTCGTAATGAATTTATGGCATTGTTTAATCATGATATTACAAAAAGGACCATTCAGAGCTATCGAACAAGACTCAACTCCACAGGTTCTCTAGGCAAAGGGCATTAAGAAACTGCATGCGAGTGCTTGCTGTGAATATTCAATTTCAGGCTTGACCTCTCAATAGATGTGTTCCCATGCTTCTTTTGCATGAAAATTTATTTTTAAAACAAAAATACTTGTCATCCTCCAGTATCAGAAACCCCTAAATATATGATAAAATAAATTAAAATTGGCAGTGTGTATCTGACTCCAATTTTGGAACTTTAGGCCCTAGGACTATCTCCTTGGCCGAAAATAAATTTTATGTATATTTTGTTATGAAAACGGGCACAGGATGAGCTATATAATCCAAGTTTGGAAATATTTTATCTTAGAAGCGGACAACGACCCTTTTGGTGAAATTAGTATTTAATATTCTCTTTATTTAGCCGACGAAACGCCGCAAAGTTTTGGAGGAGCCTCGTGAACAATTTGTATCATCCAGCGTCGGTTATGTTACATTCTTTCCACTATTTCTTCGAGTAATCCCACACAACTCACCACGGCTACCCCAGTTACTCAAGCGCCTGGCTGATCCCAAGCTCCTCTGGACACCCCACGGCCTACGCTCCCTCGCGCCCACTTCACCCTTCTACAATCGCGCAAATACTGAAAATGATCCGCCCTATTGGCGTGGAGCGATCTGGATAAATGTGAACTACATGGCTGATGAAGCGCTTCAGTAGGTCTTGGCGTTTGTATATCTACTTATAATTAGTAAGTAGTTGAATGCAATTTTTTTCTTTCAGACACTATGCTTCGCACCCGGACACACCTCCAGAAGTGGCAAAAGAAGCTAGAAAATTAAGACTAAATCTTTCCAAATCTGTAGTTGATACCGTGATTGGTGAAATGAACCGGACAGGAGTGACATGGGAGCGCTACGATGACCAAACAGGTCGGGGTCTCAGTGGACATCCGTTTAACGGATGGACCGCACTCGTGAGTCTTTTCATGACCAATTGACTGGCAAGCGGCAAATCAATCGTTGTCTTAATCCTGAATACGTTTCCCTACCCTTGGACTCTAGTGTGTCTTCACACCGAATGCATCCTTTCATTCCACTCTTAATCTTTTGTACTCTTAAAATATTTGCCATCAGTGAAACGTTGACTTAATAAGCGTATTCCTTGGTAAATAAATATATGACCAAAAACCAAGTTGTGGAAATATATGTAAATTTGCTCGGCATATAAAATTCAAAATTATAATCCGGCCTTGAGCGCAGGAACAAACACCCCCATTAACAGCTTAACAGACATGTTTCTATTTGTCTGACTGACAAATTCATTTTATATATAAAAAGATGAGAAAGATTTACAGACTAGATAAGGAGGGACTTTGTACATAGAACGAGAAAGTGAAATGATGTGGAGTATTACGTCCTTTCAGACTTTTTGTGCTTGCTACTATGGCGATGTTTACGGTGAGATTTCTTGTGCTTACCGCGACTGTGGGAAGATGATCGACTGCGTGAACGAGATCGGCGTTTCGAAGACTTCTGTTTTTTCCTTAGTGCCGCTAAAATTTAGGATATATTAATAGTAAATCAATTGGTAAAGCAGTACATAATAGCTATCACCACTTGCTAAGTTAGAAAAGTTATAAATTGGCTTATTTACCCAATTCCGCTTTTCGTTTAGCAATGGCTTCTTTAAGCATTTCATCATCTTCAGAATCGGAGCTGGTACTTGAAACATCCATGTCAATGTTTCCGCTTTGTTCGGACTTTAAATAATTACGACATTGAAATGTTAAATGTCCAGCTAAATATCAGATGAAAAAAATTATACTCACAAAATCCGCACTTTTTACATCCAGCTCGAAACGTTTTAGAAGGTTGATTGGAAGCTATGAAAATAATATCAGGGAATTAACTAATCTTACAATCCATCCAGGGGAAATACAGCAATATAAACACCAAAAGGAGCAATTCAACAGATTAAATGATTCACCATGGTGGCAAACGATGTAAACAAAGTTTCAAAGCTTTGAAGACACGATAGTATACTGAGATAAGAAACTAAATTAAAACTTAATACATTTTTTAGAATGTTTAATGAAATCCAGGTTTATAATAAATCAAACAAAAAATACTTCCAATCTTTTTTATTATCGATGGATTCTTACTTTATTGAACTCATTTAACATTCCTTACATGATGTCTTAGCTAAAATTTTCAATATTTGACAGTGAATTATTTTGTTTTAATATCAAGAATCAAATTGAATTCTTTCAGATGTATCATGATATAACGAAAAGAAATTATTTACTGTCTTACATTGGAAATAATCATCTTAAAAACATGAATTTATTAACTTCTATAAATTCAGAGATCTAATACTGATGCTATATCGAAAGGTCTCATTTTCTTTTGCTTTTCCTCTTGCAGCTCATCTGTTTATTTCGTATCAATTGCTTTTATAAATGATTTAACTATTTGTTGCTCTGCATCTAACTTTTCATTACACATTCTACATCCTACAAGACGCATTAGGGAAAATGGTCATGATATATTATACATAAATTGGCTTTTAGGTATAACATTTTTTCAAGATTTTTTTAAGAATGTACATTAAGTTACATATTCGATGCTTTTACAATTGATAAATGAACAGTAATAAATATGACGCAGTGATACTCATTGAAACTGCTTAGTGGAACTAAATAAATTTAGATATTCCCTAAAATCTTCGAAGGTGGGCAGGAAAACATTTCAAGTGGCTGTTGCATAGGAATTGAACAATAATTTCAGAAATGTTTGCCTAAAATAATGTAGAGCTATTTCGCGATCAGGTTAAGATTTTGTTTCTTTTTGAACAGTTGATATTATTTTATATCTGCCATATTAGGAATAGTGCATAATAATCCATTAGCATTTATTGGGAAACGCAACTAAGCCGACTGAACATTTTCATTAGAAGTGATTGCATTTTCAGGATCCTTATCAAAGTGTCCCGACCACACCTATATCAAGCACAAGATGATCTTTGAAAGTGCTTCCCATAGTTAGGTTGCAATTGCCTGTCAAAACAATTAAAATAGTATATTAAGTTAATAAAAATATCATGGACATAGCCTTATTTGAATTAAGTATTCTCTTATTATGCCAATAGGATCTTCAACATTAAAATTAAAAACGTGCAAGTGACGCATTGTGAACATAAATTATAAAATTATACTAGTTTATCAAAAGAGTTTAATTCATCAATTGCGTAAGAACAGATAAGACCCTAAAATTATGCTAAAAATCGACAAATATCCTTAATTTTTTCTAGAATTTTTATAAGGGCAATGGTACATGGCTCAAAGTCTTTCGAATACTATCATAACCACAAAAATCTTGTTTTCAGCCAACGTAAACTCTAATAAATGTGAAGAATTGTGAAAATTTCCTTTATATGAAACAATTTGATTTAATTACTCTTGATAAAAGTTGAAAATATATAAAAAACTGATTAGAAATCTAATTGGCTCGGCACTTTGACCTACATAACCCAATTGTAATCGTTTTAGTACTGTGAACTAACTTTTATGTTTAGGTTCGACCTGTCTCAGCTGTTTTGTAATGCCCTTAAGCCTTTAAATATATGAAAGTAAGTACAATATTCTATTTCGTGCATTCGTACGATTTTAAGTTATATTGCTCAAAATTTAAATGATAACTCGCATTTTGAAGGACAGTGCATTTTTTATTTGATATATTTATTTGAATTTTGAAGCATTTTGATTTATTTCCCTACATATAGACTTAAGATGTTCAAATTTACTTGAAACTAAAAATATGCTTTATGGTCTTCATTTGTGAATATTTTCCTTCTGTTGCCCTCGTGCCTCCTTTCATTCTGATTTACTGAAATGTTTTTCCTGGTAATCCAGCAGCTTAAATCTGCAATTTATCAAAGCTATAAAAGCTTTATTGCAATAGATCAATAATTTTTCACCGTGGATTTTGTTTTCCAGCTTTGTATTCCATCAGGCAGTAACAAAATGACTTTCTCTATAGTAAGTGTGTGCGCTTTTGTATTTTTCGCATGTAGCCTACAGATCAAAGATTTTATTCTCCATTCGGCTTCTCGTTAGCGTGCGCTTTACAATTTTGTTTCCTATAGCAATGCTAAAGTTCAAAAATATTCGTTCCCTCCTATCTTGGTGATGATTTTATTTCGATTTTGGTATAATTCCTATCAATAGCAGGCCTATTTTTGTTCATTTTGATATCTTCCTTTACTATAAATTTTAAGATGTCTTCGCGCCTTGTGGAAACGATGATGATAAACGTGGAGGATTTTGCCGACAGCTTCCTTACCTGTGGCACTTGTCTCTCTGGTTATGATTCGGGCTCTCATTCGGCTAAACTCTTGCCCTGTTCTCACACTGTCTGCCGAACTTGTCTTGAGCGAATCCTTGAAACCCAGGTTCGTTAAATTCATCAAACCGTATTTGCTTTCGTTTCTTTCTCATCTTTTATGTTTTCTTTCTGAATTGGCTCATACTTTATTAGCCGTAGTGTTTTCACGAAATTAATATGATCTAACTTTGAATGTTTCTTTCGCTTGTTTGTCTTTTTATCTTTTTCTTTCTGTTTGTCTTCTTGGTTTTTATTTATTCTTTTTTGCTGTTTTGTTAAATTTTAACAACTAATTACTTTCGTGTTTGCTTTTATCATTTGGATTTTAAGACTCCTTTTTCATCATTTGTTATTATTCAATTTTCTGAAACTGAAATTTCTTGTCTTCATTGGTACTAATTTGGTACCAATGTGATTGGTTGGAATCAATTGAATGAACTGTATGTATTTTATGCATGTTATGAACCTTTCTCCCCAAAGAATAAATAATGTCCATCTTAGTTTTCATATACTTTATTTGTATTTTTGTTCCATTTTTTGTGCATAGGATAGAACATGTCTTCAAATAATTTAATTTTCATATATACTGAAACTTTGGAAATCGTAAGTTGAGATTTGCAACTTTGATGCTGGCATCTTTGTTACTGTATTTTTAATGTGTATAAGCAGTGTTGTAGTTTGAATATTACCTGATGTTGGTGCAATTTGTCGGACTATCACCACAGATAGTCACTTTATTATCATCTGTATGATAATGTGTGCCACATCACCAACGATTTGAGCTAAACGCAGAAATAGAATCTGCAAGAGAATATATTGGATTTAAGAGTAGCACACGAATGGATTTGCGGAGATTAACGTACTGAATAACACATGCACAGACATGCACTTTAGGAAAGAAATCGATAGTGCGATGTGAAGTAATTGTAAGAAAAAAAATCGATACGAATACCTGGAAAAACGGCGAGCACGTTATTAGGTAATATTTCTTTCGGGCCTTTGAATATATATGTTAACAATCGGCAATCACTTCTTGTCAACACACGTTTATTAATGCTTAAACTCTCCGTGTACACATTTCGGCCCTCACACGCTCTGTGCAGTCACTAAACTCTTGACCTTCGAATTTGGGAGGAGCTGTCGCTAGCTCGCTCGCTCATAAGCCATAAATCCCTTATGTAGTTTATCTAAAAAAGTCGGGCTGCTACATCAACACATTAGTGTATTAACTTATTATACCTAGTGGCATACGTAGGTGATGGGCGCTTCATTTGACAGTAATATGTCAGGTTAGGCGTGATTCACCTCAATATTTGCCTCCTACTCTTCACATGGAATTTTTTCCAATATTCGTCTGAATTTTCGGCTTTTCGTGGGAAAATAAAGTTGCTCAACTTACTTTATCTATTTTTTATACTCCTTGCCTCAAGCGAGAATCACCTATTTTAGCTTTAATTAAATTAACTTTTGTCTTACCCCATTCCCTCTTTATTTCGTTTGAAAGGGCGGGTTTATGGGATGGCTTTTCGTTCAGTGTATAACTTTTCCCAATAATTTGGAACTCGTATTATTCTTTTAGCTTTGAGATGGTTCAATTATTTTTTTTCGTAATGTAATGAGTTTGCGTCTTGTGCACTTAATTGGTCTTCAATAGCACATCTGGAAATCAATATTATCAACCATGACAGAACAAAAATATCTATTTATAGCGATGGGGAGGGGGGGGGGATAGGGGTAAAGGAGGATCACGTAGATGTTAGATACTTTAAGTTCTACTTAGCTGTAGTAGTTTACTGCCTCACACCCAACTTTTCAAAAAAAACCTCAGGTTTCCAATGTCTGCAAACTCCTAGTTGAAATAATGTCTTCTCTGTTTAATTGATTGCCTTGAGCAGCAGTTTGTTGGTGCTGAAATAACTGTTACCTGTAATTCAGAATTTAACGAACCTTTTTTTCCCTGAAAAGGTTGTGAACACAAGCTGTTCATGTCCCTAGTGGATTTCTAATTCATACGCTTCAACAAATTCTAAATACTTGCGTGACCAGTGCTTAAATAATTGTCCCCACTAGATTAAATTAAATTGATATAACGTGTGTGTGTATATAAGTTTATTGCTGATTTGTGCATATGTCCAGATTCCCACGTCCATGCCTATATTTAGTCAAGTCCTCTTTCGACAACTTTTTTTCCACGAATGAAATTCTATTCTATTTGCGATGAGATGATTTCAGCTATGGTATCATTTATAAAATGCTTCGACATAAAAAGTGGTGATGTGGACGAGGTGATAGGAGGGGGGGGGGGGGGGGGGGGGGGGGGGGGGTAGGAATTCGGGGTAAATATTACAGAAGTGTACCTAATTGTTTCTTGCCCAGATATGTTAAAGGTGTTCATGCCCACTGTACTTCCTCTAAAAATCTAAATCCCTCACATGCGCATACACGTGATGACAATACCAGAACGATCACTGGCAGAGACTTACTAGCAGAATGGCGATTGGCGCGGCTATTTGGTCGTTTCTCTCAAAGCCTCCTCAACGTTGTGAGGCTTTCCTTTACTTTATTAGCTATGCTAGTAATGCATGCATTTTGCATTTTCTCTTTAAAAGATTTCCCATTTTACACCTCAAGAGCAAATCAACGAATATATGTAATTATCACTTGCTCGCTTTTATACAAAATCTAAAGTTCAGGTCTTCTGCTTTTGGGAATGTAAATGCTTTTATTTCTTATTCTGTTGGTGGAACCGGTTAGTTTGTGGCTTTATTCCATAATCAGGTTGAATTCGCTCATCACCTTTTATCAATTTTTACTTCTTTGACATACAGACTCAGTTCTTAATTCTAAATGATTCACATACTTTTCCTGCAACGTAGACTGATCTAAGCTAAGAGATTGCTGTTTCCAAATTTTACGCCTGGAATCATTTCCTTTTACGTTTCCTCAAAGTGAAATCCACCTAGATGATATGATTTTACTGAGATTCATAAATCTCCATATTTTTTCTTTTTGCGACCCCCTTCCGTATCATTTCTATGACTTAAATCTCACGTCAAGACGTCCTTCCAGTCCGAACCCCCCCCTCTCCCCTCCTTTGTGTTTTTATTCTCAAAATTTTTATTGATTTGTTTGTCTGATTGCGTGCTTTTAAATGACATTGTGCATGATTTAATTTCAGAAATCGATGGCAGAATGTGAGGTAAGTGTGAAATGCTACTCTCGTTCTCAACCTCCCAACCACACACTCATCCAACCACTCACCCATTCAATCAATAAATTAATGATTGTATCCTATTTATGACTTGATGGTTGATTGTTGGTAATTTCAGCATGTGTACGGTTGATTTTTATCTACACGAGTTTATGACTACTTATCATGTTTGCACTGTCTACAATAATGATTGGAAATCGTTATTTAGGCAACTTCAAATGCCTTCATCTGTATTCCTCTTTCTAGTGGCTGTGAAATGATTGGAAATGTGTTAAAAGTTTGGCTCTCAAGTCAGTGTTGGAAAGCATTTTCCAACCCTCACCTTGGCAAGATGAGCGGAAGTATCTTAGAGAGTGTTTGATGGTAAACTAGATTTCTGCCATTACTATTATTCGCCGAATTCAGCTTGTGAAGTTGGCCATTACTCTCACCACTGAGTGTACGCCGATGGGCGATGGATTTGGAAAAGATTGTTTTGCGAGAGCGAGACTTTTCATTCATTTGAATCTTCCTGATTTTATTCGTTGCAAAATTGTTGGGTTGCAGAGGGGAGGCGCTTCCTCAAATTAGCCAAGTTCAAAAGACTGGGTGGTAACATCACTCCCACCTTTAGAGTGGGTGGACTGCTAGTTGGAACATGTCAGAGACTTCTGTTTTTCTAGCGCTTTAGATGACAGTATAGTACTGACTAATTTGATGTACGTTGACTAAAACATCTGTTGACCTTATGACCAGAAAAATAAAACGACCAATGCAATAAGAACAGCATAGATGTTAGTTCAACCCCAAAATCCCATACTACCTCTTCATAACAAATGTGTGGATTCGACCCCTCTATGTTTGCTTTTCCTGCCGTTGACTTGGCCAATGATAAGTTTTCAACCTGTCCTTTTGGATGTGCTTAGCTTTGAACGTTTCCCAGTTATTAGATAAGAAGCTCCCTAATGATGGCCAGGTTTGGCAACTTCTAGTTGATCGGAGCTTCAACACCAGTTCTATATTTTTGCATACACAAGGTGAGATTGGTGTCCAGTGTGTATGCTGACTTGGTCCGCTTTGAATCCAAGTCCTAGGAACTGTGCTGCATGTGTAATTGGGAGTTTTCATTTCCCTCATGTCGGAATACTGACAGCCCTCACATCTGGTTAATCTTTTTGATAACTCGAGTTAGTTTATGCATGAAAATAGGTGCACTTTCATCTTGGTTTCATCATTCACTTGCCACACTGCCAACTCATTGAATTTATTGGCTTTTGGGGTATGCTCATTCCCTCTCCTCCTCCTCCTCTCTTGTTGCAGGCAGAGGAGGATACAATGCGCTGTCCAATCTGTCGCGAGACCATCATTGTTCCACGAGGTGGTGGAGGTGCAGCCACCTTTCCTCCCGCTTTCATTGTCAACCAACTGCTGGACTTGATGGCTAGTCAACGACGGGATCGTGTTCCAAAGTGTCGACGACATCCAGGACAAGAATTGCTCTTTTGTGAAACCTGTGATGTTATCTTCTGCCCAGATTGTCGTGGTGGCAACACTCGGTCAGTTGTTTATCCTCTTGCTATCACGTGTGCGCATTTTAATGATTGGAAGATGTGTAGTAGGGCATTTAGGAGATTGGGAGGTGTGGAATGGTGATCAATGGAATAAGTAGAACCCTAATTTATTTGAGATCAGGTGTCTTCTGCGTTTTTAGTGTCTCTCTTTCAATGTCACCCAATATTAGATTAGAATCACTGTGCATTTGAGTATTGCACAGTTCACAAAGTTCCCTCTATGAAGGGAGAATGGATGTCTAGACGAGTTAAGGGTAGAAAGAGTGGCCACAATTTTTTAGCACTTAATTGACCTCCCTTAGACCTCCATGAGTTATTAAAGGTCATAATTTCACTGTGGATTTAATCGATCACCAATAAGTGGATTGTAATGACGGTTCCACTTAGTGGAGTCCGTTTAAGCACTATTTATTGAACTTATGAAAGTATTGCTTTATTCGTGCTTTCATTTAGTACAAATTGCAGCTTCTTTTATAACTAATTTAAGAGCTTTTTTTCCCATTAGTAATCACAGACCAACAGGGAACCGAAAGTGCTTCACCGTATTTGGCTTCTGGGTGTATTGGTTGATCTTGCTTTTCATTATACATTATTGGTTTTTTTTTAATGTCCTGATGTACCAATACGCAATTTTTTATGATTTCACCTCCAGGGTTCTTGCACAAGTTCATGTCGAAGATTATTGACCAATTGGATTAACTTAGTGAGTGTCCTGACTCGATGCATTTGCCTTAATCATCAGCAGTGTTGAATACAGGGAGAGAAGCTTGTTTAGCCAAAAAAACATAAATATTTGCGCTGTTCTATACCAATCATGCACATCTAATAATTGCCGATATTGTGAGATGAGTTGGTAATGGCAGGAAAAGGTTGGATTCAGTAAAATGTAAAACTCATTTGACTTTTTCAGTGGAAGATGAGATGGTTCGTGCTATTTTAATGCTGAAGGTTTATTTATTTCAAATTGCAGGCGTCTTGATTGTTATCATTAGCCCTTTAGGTGACTTCGGGCTTCACAGAGAGGAGGAACGTCAAAGTGACAAAAATTCGTAAGGGGGGGGGGGCAGAATAATGATTCACAGATGCAAGAGACAGACACAAAGGCAGAGAGACGGTAAGATGGGTGTTGTGGAAGTGATCGAATACGACTTACAGTCGGGCCATGGTAGTTGGAAGTGGGAAGTCAACTGCTGGTTAATTGACTTTTTTGTCGTAAGAGTATACGTTGCCCATGGTGCACCACTTGGAGGTAAGTCTATCGCACACCCCTTGATTCAGAAGGTTTTGGCTAAGTTTTTGTCACACAAAGCTTTCTATGGTTTGGTTGGCCATCGTTAAAGACGGGACTCCTCTAACCTGAAATAATCCGCCTTTAATAGCCCAAGATTTTCCTCTAAACTACAAATAGGCAATCGTTCTTCCAGCTTTGCGTACAGATGGAATATACTACACTGACCGAATCATGATAAATGGTTTGTCCGACATTAATTGTTAGTCTGATGAGTTTGTAATTAAAATTCACCATATGACAGAATAAAAACGAAGGAATTGAGTCAATTTGAGCATTTTCTGTGATCGTCAGGTTTCAGGCTCGATGCCTATAGGTACACTGTGAGTGAATAGAACTCGAGTTTCACATCTCCTTGGCCTAAATGATCTTAGGAGTTGGAATACCATTTTCAAGGCCTTCCTATCTTCTTTATTCAGTAACACTAGGATGTATTGCTCACATGTTCAACGATTTTACCATGATGTCAATTGACATGTCTTTCCTAAATTTAACTAATCCGTTATACGGCGCGAGTCATTCAATTGATAAGATGATATGGGTTCACCAAAAATACTTGATATCCACGCGCATGTAGACTTCTACTGGCCATGCACGCCCTAATTCAAATTGAAATTTCGAAAAAAATATGTCCCCAATCCAGGTGGTGTCGTGTAGGGTGGGGGGGGGGGTAGTTATGCCCCCTTTGGTGACCGACGCACTGGCACTGGAAGATATTATCTACCAGTGGGTTAAGGACGCTATGTTATATGTCAGTGGGATCTTACCTCCATCTTGACAGAGGTTTATTTTTGTGTTTGTGTTATGCATATCTTCTTGTTTTTTTTTTCGCTTGTGTTCAATGCGAGTTTCAAAGCCTCCCTTATTTATGACCAATAGCTCGTCAGATTTAAGCCATCGAGTTCGTTATTAGATTTACATTAATTTTTGTGTGTGCTCATGTGGTTTTTGAGGCTCCTCATTTTGCATCTAGTGGATTTATGTGGAAATGGTTGAATTATTATTAGACATCGTCTTAAGTAAATTTTCTCAGCAAATCAGTTAGACACTGATAAAATATTCATTTGTCCTTCATGTTTAATGACTTGCTTATAAGTAAATGCAACTCAAGTATTTACGCATTTCATATACTTTCCCTATAAGATTTAATCAGAATTGAAAGTTTCGAATCCGTCTAAATTAGTTTTACCCTTTCTGTAGTTGGTGAAATATTTAGGATTGGAAATGGTTAATGCTTTTTGCACTACTTCATTTGCAAAGGAATGTGGTAGCCGCTACGACAATGATATCCCATCAGTTGGCAAATCATTTTTTCAGAGGCTTTACTTTGATTGCTCGTTAACTTGTTGATTGGTTTTTATTTAATCTCTACCGGCGTGTTCTTGATTTCTTTGTTAGTACAGTCGAGACATTGATTTTTGCAACCCACATGACAAAGCAACTCTCAGCGGGTATTTTGAAGTATTTCATGGGAATTTCTCACTAGATTTTCGCAATGTAATATATTAATTATTTTTATTTATTTATTTCAAATGTCAGGCGTTTTGATTGTGATCATTAGCTCTTTAGCTGACTTTGGGGCTTCACAGAGGGGAGGAACATCATAGTGGGAAAAATTCGAGAGGAGGAAAGAAGATTGATTCGCAGATGTAAGAGAGACAGGTGGACACAAATGCAGAGAAAAGGTAAGATGAGTACTGTTGAAGGGGTCGAATTTGACACACATTGGGGTCATGGTTGTTTGAAGTGAGAAGTCATCTCCCGGTTAATAGACTTTTTTGCCGTAGGAGTATACGTTTGCCCAGAGTGCACCACGTGGAGGTAAGTCTATCCCACTCCCCATATGTTAATTATTGAAATAAGGAAACGTTTTGGTTTTCACTATTTTCTAGTTTCGATGAAATTTGAAATTTATCGTGGTTAAGCTGTTTTTTTATTGCATTTCAAAGACGAGCATGTTTTATCACGATACATGAATTGATGAGACGAAAATGCCTGCTAAATATTTTAAGTGAATTCAAATTACTCACTCTCTCTTCAACTGGGGAAATGGTAGTTTTGCTACCTTCGAATTTTTGAAGTTTTTTCCTGGTGAAATGTGAAAATAAAAGTGTACATCTTTTTTTTATTAAGATCTTGTAGTGTGTCCTTATGCTAACCGGGGATTGAGATCATAACAGATTGTGTTCACACTTTACTTGCTCCCACATGTACTTCTAACATATTCATGGCGATAGAAGTTTAAGTACTGTGTTATTCTCAAAATGAAGTGTACTATTGAGCTAACGTGTACACCCGTGTTGCTACCGCGTAAAGGACATGCCGCTCCTGATATGAACTAATCCTCTGCTGTAAGCTAGACTTCTCCCTATGGACATCCTAGCTCAGACTCTGGAGAAGAATTCAACACGATCTTCTATATCAATTGGTCATTCCAGTTTTGACCATGGGAGAAGAGTATTTGGGAGTTGTGTATAACTCGAGTAATCAACTCTGTTCGCGCAACTTTTACGAATTCTGTTTAGGACTTGGGAAATCTTCAACTTTTTTTTTAACTGACAAAATGCCATAATAAATGCAATGTCGCCTGATGATTAGGTCCTGAACTTTTTAAATGTGCGGAAAAAATGAAGTTCATGCTCAATATGGCGAAGGCATGTAGCCTCTAGAAGCAAATTGGTGCTATTTAGCATCAGTACGTTCCAGGGAGCTTTTCTGGAGAGGAAATTTTGGTGCGCCATTTCCACTTCATCAGATGTGTGCAGGTGTCCATCGAAGTCTTGGCTTCTGAATTCACAAACGAGCATGGTAGCCACTACAGTAAATGTTTTAGTGCACCTCATGATATGAATTATTGATCGACTATTCATCACTCCACTTCTAAATGTTTTTTTTTCGAGAAAAATTGTCCCCTATTGGGAAATACTTAATTTTTTTTCATTAATTTATTTCAAATGTTATATTGAAAAGATTACTATCCAAAGGCTGTTCTACTCTGCCCGAGTTATTACAAAATATTTATTTATTTCAAATGGAAGGCGTTTTGATAGTTATCATTAGCTCCTTAGTTGACTTCGGGCTTCACAGAGGGGAAGAACAGACAAATTGAGAAAAAGTCGAGAGGGGGTTGGAACAGAAGAGTGATTCACAGATGTAAAAGTGACAGACGCAATGGTAGATAAAAAGGTAATATGAGTACCGTAAGTGATGGAATACGAATTACGATCGGGCCATGGTAGTTTGAAGTGAGAAGTCAACTGCCGGTTGATAGTTTTTTTGTCGTAAGAGTATACGTTACTCAGGGTGCACCACTTGGAGGTAAGTCCATCGCGCACCCTAACTACTTAAAGATAGATTTCCCTCAGTTGCTATTGGTCATTACTTTATCTGCTTTGTTGGATTGGGACGTAATGGCTTTATTTTCCTCCTCCGCTGGGAAGTGTGAGACACTTAATTCAAATTCCCATCCAATTCTCATTCACTTGGTTTCCTATTTTCCTTTATTTGGAAATAATGAGTAATTTGTGCCTTTCCATGAAAGACCTTGCGCTCTCCTTCCCCTGCTCTTCTTGTTGTTCATTATGATAAAAATTAAAAAATAAATACACATTTCAGATCTCTTGAATACTGTGTTTCTCCTCATCTCTAAAAATAAACGAAAAAAAATTATTTTTATTTTATTTGAACTCATTGTCCCAGTTGTGCACGGGCAACAATAAGTTTGGCGTAAACTGAGTGTATGCAGAGCAACGTTCCCATTGAATTTTGAATTGTAAATTTTTGTAACATTGATG